TGTTGTTGTTGTTGTTGTTGTTGTTGTTGTTGTTGTTGTTGTTGTTGTTTTATATTTTATATTTTATATAGTGGTTAATGAAGTCTACAGTGGTTTCAGAGTAGATGGCACTGGCACCCCAAGATGTCCTTTAGAGAAGGGGTCCATTTGTTCACCTCCGAGCTGGGGGAGAGAACTTGTGCCATGTCTCACCTCTAATGGCCCACCTTCGTGGAATGGCTGGATTCCGTACGAACCTCAGGGTCTCCATTTGCTCCACCGGTTTGTTCCGCCCAGGAGTGGTGTGGCGGGGTTCCGCATCGATGCCGCCAAGCATCAAGACGCAGGCACGTACGTAGCACGACGCCAAGCGTGGGCGTGGGGCCCCTCTTGCGGAGTCGAAGTGTGATCTTTCTTCCGAAGCCTCCAGAGGCTTGGATCTTGCGGAGTAATTTCTTGCCCCAAACTATCCCAAATCAATCCCAAAGCATAGATTTGGGCATGGTGTCACTTAGAGGTCGCGCAAGTCGGGAAGAAAGGAACAACAGAGCAGCAGCAACCGCTCAGCAACCCATTGATTGGGCAGGATTGGTCCACAGGACCTTTAGGTTTGATATTTTTTACATACCCCTGGTAGACAGAAGCGGCACCTTATTATAAGATGCTACTTTGATAGCAAACACTCCCGTGCATTTGGGGAATGGCAAGCACTCCCGTTCTGATGCAGTAGGATGATGGAAAAACACCTGAACATGCAATGGTTTTGTTCTTCTCATCTTGTGGCAGGCCTACATCCTAGGAAGAACCCTTCAACCAGTTTGCCACGTTCACTGGAAGAGAGCTTGCAAAGAGTGCAGGGCATTGTGCCGACAGACCGGCTGAGGGCTTTCTACCCCAACATGTGTATGGAGGTTCAAGCTACTTCCAGGAAGTTACTTCCACAGATTATGTTTCATTGACTTTGACCCTGCAGTTGAAGGTGAGTTGAAGGCGCTGCTGCAGCAGACTGGAAGCCTTCCTTGGGTCTTTCAGGAGGTCATCGAGGTGCCTCACGCCAGTCACGAGTTGTGCGGTTCGCCTCTCAAACATTTGGAGACGGTGCAGGGCAGCTTTTAGCAAATCATGCACCTTGCATGGACTATGTATATATTTTGGGTCTATCCTCTTAGCTGTAACAGTGGATGATGGTTCGGTTATTGATTTGCTTGTTTACTGACTGTTACAGGTAAGAACGAACAGACCCAATATATCTTGGCAATTTCGGCTTCACGAGTCTTGACCCCGGAGATCAACCGTTCGACGAGCAAGAGGAGGGACTCTTAGACGGTCGTCGAAGACCTCAGCGTGCGTCCGCTGCGTGCGTTCTCGACTCTCCACGTATGGAATATGTAGCACGTTGACCGATTCAACCTTAGCCCAGACACTCCATGTATGCCGTATATGCCTACACCCCAATGTAGGCATATATGACATACATGGAGTGTTTGGGTAGAACATCAACATCACTCATACATCATACATTTGGCACATCTTCCAAGGTCTCATGGATTGAAAGGGATCATTTAGGATCAGGTGTTTTTGATCCATGGGATAGCGAATTCCGGTTGATTTTATATTTATGTAAAGAATCACCTCCTAAATTTGTAGAGAGAAATCTGTGGGAATTCTCATTGAAAACTGATTCTGTAGCAGTTGTTATCCTTGCAAGACTATACATTGAGTGCACGTGGACAAGGATTTTCAAGAGTTTTGAACGTGACTTTGTAGATAGCCCTTTTAAACAAATGCCTAAGGGTCTTCCCACAATCCACTTGAGCATTTTTTGATAGGATCTCTTGAGCCAGTGAAGATACATAGTTCTTGAATCTTTGGACACGTTGATAACTGATTCTGTAGCATTCATTCATTACGTTCCGCAAACTGGGTTTGTGGAAAAGCATTTCGTAGCGAACATATGGGCCAGCCATGCCATTTTGTGGAAGTAGAGGTACGTCCAATTGTTTAGAGACCATTTTGTACAAAACACCATTCCCACCATGACGCCAACGTGGATGTGTGCGTTGGGATGTTTCGATGTGTGCCCATGTGTGCCAGGGCGGAGGGGAAGCGGTCACTGCACAAATGTACCAGGGCATCGGCAAGGTGGGCTTCGACGGTTGGCGTGGATGCTGGGTCCGATGGACCGGCGGGTCGGAGTAGCAAAAGTCATGATAAGGATCCCTCCAAGGGGTGCCCTGTCTGGAAGCCTACCTACCCTACCCCTACCCCTGACCAGCACAAAGCACTGGATGCATAGGTAGTGTGGGGTAGTCCATTGGACACCCCAACAGGAGGGTCCTGGTATGATTCTGGATTTGTGTGTGACATTCTTAACTGTCCTTCATGTTTTTGTTGGGGAGATTGAATCCTTGTCCTGAGGTAGAGGCCTCCGAGGGCTGGTGCGGGGTTCATCTAGGACGAGACTTGTTACTTTATCCAACAGATGGATACAGGCCTTACAGGAAACAGGACCAACAGTATGTGTCCCCAGTTCTCCGAACACATCATATGCCCACAGTGGGACCCACAGTGAGAGAAGTGTGCAACATATCCCAATGACAATGCTCCCAGGTTGTTTTATATCATTTTAGTTTATTTTATATTTACATATCCCATACAAAAGATCCTATACAGAGATGATGATATCTCTCACATATCCCATTTGCAAACATTGCATGTCCTGTAGTACATCGAAATTTTCTACTCCCCTGCGGAGGACCACATGGAACTCCAAGACCACTGGGTCGGTCTTCAGGAACAATGGTCGAAAACCACCGGTCGTCGGGTTCCATGGGATCGTTTGCAAGAGACTTGTCCCAACCGATCCCACCAATGCTCCATCTTTCTCACCTCGGCTTTTGAGCCACCTCCGCCGACGGCGAGTTCGCCAGGTCACCGAGTTCAACTACGCCCGGCAGCTGGCGCCGAACTTTCTGCAGGAGGGGAAGCTCAAGCAGCTCGGGCGATGAACAACCAGGGACTCCGGAGACTCAATGGCGATATCATCAAATCTTTGGAACTCCAGTTGGAATTGCCAATAGCTTGTTGTCATTGATCAGCAAGTCTATTTCAGGCTTTGGTCATCAAATCTTTGGGTCAATGTATTTGCATCCTCACCCAGAGAGCACCATACCAGAACTCTCTCTCACACTTATTAGTGCGTTGCTGAAACTCCTGGGCTTGAACGCCGAGGTATTTGGGCAGCTTTGGGGAGTCCTGGGGATTGATTTCCAGCGACACCGCAGTGGTGCCCTGGCTGCTTGAGAACAGGGCGAGCCCACACGGGCGTGTTCGGGGAGGTTGACCTTTAATGACCTTTAATAACCCCCCTGAGGTTTGCAATCCCAAATGGATGAGTTTTACATTGGATGCTGATGGTGGTATTTGTGGCTTCATTCTAGCGCATGGCAAGTTGGTTGATGAAACTGGTGTGGGCAGGTTGGAGCTTGTAAAAGGTTGTGTTTGGTGGGACATAGGGCCCCTATATGGATCCACATACCCTCCGAGGCTTGCAGGCTTGGAAAGTCCAAGGACCTTCTGTAAGAAGGTCCCTGGGTGGCAAGTGGCACGCCACTCGAGTGCTAAGAGGTAGGTGTGGCCCCCATTGCCCCCATTGCTCCTGTGTGTAGCTGCTTTCGCTGGGGTGGTGCTGAGGTGTTCATGGACAATCATGATACACAGCGAGGGGAAGCACAGCTCACCTACAAGAACGGTGGTTTATACTCCTTGGCCAACGTGACTTGGAGAGAGGAAGAGCGGTGAGAACCAGCTGTTCTGTTTGACAGTTGGATCATGTTGGCAAAGTATATGGAACATATGGAACATGGGCAGTTTGCTCCTGTTGCTCCCAGTTCTGTGCCTTTTGTCTATGCGAAGCTACGCACCCCACGGACTCTTCACCCCGTTCGGATGGACGAGCGCAGCAGACACGGACCAAACAGGAGTGTGCTGAGTGTGCTGCAAGTGGGGTGACAGCTGCTGCACTTGGACACTTGGCCCTGCACCGCCCTCAGGTCTTCATGCTGGCACATCCATATGGCTACCCCAAGGCAGAGCAGTGGAGCGGTCGTTCGAAATGAACCAGCGAAAGGTTTAATACCACTGTCAGGGGGCAAAGGCCGCATGTTTGGATGCATTTGGGGGCACGTCATGAAGTCTATTACCAACTTACTTTAGACTCACTATTCTATCATGTTCATGCATGTTCTATCCATCCGGGCATCAGATCAGGAACATATCTTCCCAGGTGAGCTGTTTTGGAGCTGTTTGGGGCTGCTGGCCGGTCCCAACGTCCGTCAGGTCATGAGCTCTTATGTCTTCGATGCCCATGACCAGGGGCCACCTTCGCAGCCCGTGCATTCGGCCACGGGAGGCCGGGGGGCGATGGCGGCGATGGCTGGGAAGCGCAAAGAACGACTCCTATAAACGTCCATCCATCAAGTGAAGACGGATGGATGGAAGACCACTAAACATGAACAGCTGAATTAGCTTCAAATTAGAAATATGTTCCAGGGAAACTCAAGGAGACGGTATCAGACTATGTGGAACTGGAAGCTTGGAGTTCCTGGTGACCTCACTTTCACCCTTCAACCGCTTCCCTCAGTCGCCTGCGGCGGGCAGCCGTGGGTGTGCGAACATCGCTACCCAGAGATTGCGAACATGGTGGCGTGGAGGCGGCTTGGGTCGGGAGACGGCATTTGTGGTCTAAAAGATTCAGTTCCAAGATCCTCATACCATACCCAGACACTCCATGGGACTGGTATATTTACCACACACCATGGGGTGGTTATGTAGGCACATATGGTATACATGGAGTGTTTGGGATAGGTTGGGTCGAAACACATAGCTGACTCGGAAAGTCGCGATTGGAACGGGACAGGCTGCGGCGAGTGAGACGAGAAGAACAGTTGTCGTACGAGTGTAACAAGTTATCATCATGTAAACTGTAAACAGTAGTGGTTGTTGAAGACTGCAGCAGCGAAAGCAAAGTCTTTCGATAACAAAGGTCGATCAAACGCAAACATGAACTTCAAAGTGTTGTTGATCCTATATATATATATATTATATAACAATTCCTGCAGATTCTGTGTGCTCAACATTGTTCAACTAAGCTCATATGTTTTTGTTTCTAATCCCAACCAACAGACTCTGGTGACTACATGCAGGGTTCTGAACGGGTTGCCAGAATCTGAATGTGTTTGGTTTGACTGGAATATGTGGTAAGTATCACACCAGATGAAGAGTCATTCAAACAGCTGCAAGGACCTGCTAAATGTTCCGAAACCATTTTTGGGGGAGCTGGGAGGCAAGAATGTCATGCTGCTGCTCGTAATGTTGTAAAGATTGCAGACAGCACCCTTTGCTTGAGAAACGGCTGGACAGAACGGCATGCGCAGGAATCTGTGGTTGTTGCTGTGTGACGTCAAAGGGTGTTGGATGATGTCGGCAATTCTGGTTCCAGACGCAAGTGGCAAAACCTTTGGATGCACAAGTTGCTGATGTTACTCCTACCATTTGGGAGGATCAGTGCCATCGTCCAATCTTGTATCGGTGCGGCTACTGTTGAGCCAAGCTGGTGGTATCAACGATGTTGGGTTCGCCCTATTGCACGTTTGGCAGACCAGTGGCATGACCTCGACACGTCTTCATTGATGGGTGTGAGCGTCGAAGTGTCGACATTCCTTGAAAGTCCTTCGACCGTGCCAGTGCGCTCGCTGAAGTCCACGGAAGGGAGGGGAGGCCATATTGGGAGACGAAAACAGGGAGGCCCTGGCTGCAGTCTTCCGACAAAGTAACGCAAAAGCACCAGAAGATGGTTCCTACCATGTACCACTCTATGTTGGTTCCTATCTCGTTGGGTTGAAACTTCTTGGCCGGCAGAATTTCCCGCCCACCCCCTTCCCCTGAGGCGAAGCGCGGGCGCCAACAAAACACTGGAAAGCTTCACTGCATCAGATGATGGGACACTTGGAGGAAGGATCGGCCAGAGAAGCGAGGATGCGAACACAGGGATCACGTCCGGGGTCATACAGAACATCACCCTCAAAAAGAAACATGTTCACTCCGCGCCCACGGTTTTCAGGGATCGAGATCTATATCTCACCTGTCCCACCTCCCGAAAAATCGCATGATCGATTCCAAGCCCGGCTCTTGGCTGACTGACTCATTTCGGTTCGGGCTGACTGACCCTGGCACTGAACGCGTGTGACCCATGTTTCCAGGCCTGGGTCACGGTCTCCAAGACATGTGGCACCCTGTGATGCTTTGGGGCCCGAAACGAGCGCTACCCTCAGAACAGCTTTGCAGAAGGGAACCCCAAACCTGAAGAATTCTGAAGAGAACCAACGTTGTGGCTGAGCAGTTTGGGGCAAAATAGGGCCCTTGGCTCATCAGTGGTCAGGAATGGTGCCTTCTTTTGCCGCAGTTCGTCCGCCTGTGTGGCGTTGAACCGAAGCTTGGCCATAATAGGTTCGAGAAGCTGGGCATTTGGAGGGCTGGTGTGAGTCCAATTGGGCTAAACTAAATTCTAGTTGGGGGGAGGTAGAGGATGAGTATGAGATGGTATGAGCTCAGCCACGGGTCAAGTCCTTGTTGACCAGATGTTTTACCAGTTCATGGCCCAAATCTCCACATTTCCCGTACGTTTAGCTGGATAGCTTGTTGGGGCATAAACCTTTGGATAGCTTCAAAGCTCCTCGATGTATAAGCTGAGCCTCCGGCCTCCAAGGGCGACCCTGACCGATCACATGAAAGGAACCAGTCCAGCCCATTGGCCGGCTGAATTTGACCCCAAATGATCTTTCAGAAGATTCAGAAGCAGGCAGCCATTGTTGAGGAGTTTGTTGGGCGCGAACGTTCGAACGTTCAGTTTGTTAATTCGCTGCGAAGCGTTTCCACTATGTTAATTCCATTGTTTCCACCGGGTTGGATGGTTTGACTGGTATGATTTTGAGGGTTTCCCTGTGGATCCACATAACTTCTCAGAAAGTCATTGGGCCCCCGCAAGCCTATATAAATAGTCTCCAATTGCCGTACCTGAGAAGCTATGTGGATCCATGGGGTTTGGATGGACCATTCGTACCCCATCTTCGCCCAGTTCCGGTTCCGCGCGCTCCGGGGCGCGCTCCGGAGCCCATCGGAGCCCGGATTCCACCGCGCAGTCCCGTCAGGTGGCTCAGGCACCTGGACGACGACCGTGAAGACCAGCATGCCAGCAGGTGCGTGAACACCTACCTAGGACAAGTGGATCGCCTGCAAAGCTTTTTGGGGAATCGGTTTCTCTACTGAAGAACTGGTAGAAAGCGATTAAGTTGAAAGGGTTGAGCCGTTCAGAACTGGGCCTTTTGGCCGGCTGAGAGGACTTGGAAGGGTGGGTCAAGTCATGTCTACATCCCCCAGGCTCTGCATATGTTTTCACAGTGGTTTCAGATGGGAGTTTGTCACCAAAATTCTGTCTTTAGGACGCCTAGGGCCCCAACCATATCCTCAGAAGGTGGTTAGACCCCCCCTGGCACCCACCCCAACCACCTTCTCAGGAGGTGGGACAGGAGCCCTAGAGGATATTGAGCATCTTTGAGCCATTGCCCTCCGGTTGTCCCTCCGTGATGGGGAGCTTGAATGACCGTGCCAGTCGGTCTTTCGGGGAGCGTCTTATGCGTCGCAAGCATGGTACAGGTACCGTCTTCTTGTTTTGCAAAACCCGACGTCACTGTAACCATTAAACGACACTCCGACGAACACATACCCACTGTTTGTAGTGGAAAATGGTCTTCCAAGGGGCCATTCTCCACTTCCATGTTGGTGAGTCAGAGTGTAAACCTTCTTTTTCTTGTGCCTGGATGGCGCAACTTTGGGTCGCCACACGACCCCGCCCCACCCGGAAAATCCATTCGTTCAACGCTTTCTCGGCTCCACGCGTTCCAGGGCAGTACAAGAATGTGATCCAATCCAGCGGCTCCAACGTGGAGGTGAAGGCGGATGGTGGCTCGGCTTCTTTTGACTTCGGAAGACCAGAGAATACGTGGCCGGTGTGGAGAGATGGTTGGAAATGGTGGCTGGCGCATGGCGCATCAGTTTTTTTGGTGTTTTGCAGACCTGGAGAGGGGAGTCCACCAAGCACCGTGCTCGCGGCGAAGGTGTTTGCTTGCGTTGCATGGCTTCTACTTGTACCCACGCTTCATCAACTGGGACCCAGTGCTTAGGAGTCTTAGAGGGTCTCCGCCACTTCCAACGCACCACCATGCACCACCAATTCGCCAAGGTACAGCAAACCTGGTGGTGCCATCTCTCGGCTTCTCAGCAGCAACATGACCAAGCGGAGTGAGAAGCCCCCCACGGGCTGCCCTACCATGTTTTATCAGGCCTAATTTAGACCACATGACCGTTTGTTTCAAATGATGTTACAGTTGCAATTGTCCATTATTTGTTTGCTTGGACCCTCAAATGGGTGTCCTGGCTAGAGGTCCCTAAGTAGTGTAGGTTTTTTTGTTGCCCAAGTGGATGGTCCTGGTATGTATACTTCTTTGGTTGTTTGGTGGTTCTTCCAATTTCACCTTGTTTCAACGGGATTTCAATCTTCATTTGGTGGTTCTGCCATGTTCTTCCAACAGATGTCTATTTCCCCAGGGATCCAAGTACCTTCTCAGCAGGTGATTGGAGACACCGCTATGTAGGTTTGGAGAGTCCAAGTACCTTCAAAGAGGTTTCAATTGTGAGTTCTTCTTTGAATGTGTTAGACACCGCCACCGTGGGACACCCCTGAGGTGCGGTGGCCTTCCACGTGAACGCGGCCGTGGAACAGCGACCGTGGGTCCCTCAGAGACGTCGACTTGGGGAGGAGCGAGCGGACTGGCTTCGCTCCACACTGGCTTCGCTCCACACTGCGAACGGAAGCGATCAACACATGGATCCCTGCAGATCTTGCACGAAACATTGGTGGATCTTGGGAATTGGATCGGTTTTTCACTCCAAGATCTGAGGACCTTGGAATTGTCCGACGTTTCCATGACCCATCACTCTTGATGCAGTCGGTTCGCATGGTTCGCGGTGGCTTCCTGTTCAGCAGCGTTTTGGGATCACAGTGGTCGTCCTCCGAAGCTCCAAGTGACATAAAGACGAGGTTCTGAGAGAAGTTCCCCTGTGCCCTCAGGACCATTGCCATCATTTGAGGCGGGATGGATGGGAAGCGATTCGCGGTCTTTGGAGAGAGCGATTCGCAGAAGAGCAGGAGTAGTATAGCAGAGTGCACCCCGCAAACATGGAAATCATATGAAATGTGACTCGGGTGGCTTTCATGTGACTCGGAACCCCATTTTGGCGTCGCCTCCAAGCCGTCCAAGCCTTTTCCCGGTCATTCGCGCTCACATCGCATCCGGAGGTTGGGAAGAGCCTTACACGCGCTCGTGGCTCGTGGTGCTTGGCCACCGGCCAAGAGCTTGTTCATGCGGACGCCTTCCGAGCGTCATAGAACACGTCGCATGTCCATGTTTGTGTCCAACTTTGGTATAGACAGATCAAAACTCAGAGTTAGCTTTATGATGATAATACTGAACATTCTTTTCCCACAAGTTGTGGCAAGAAGATGCTTCTGGAGGGCCAGTGACGCGAGCTTGGTGCTGATCGAGGACCCTCTCATTTTGCGAGTGTAGTCCAGCGAGGACCAAAAGAGATAAAAGAGACTGAGGGCTCAAGTAAGATAAGATGGGAGAAGATTGAAAATTGAAGCTAAGTAAGAGGGCTCAAGTAAGAGACTGAGGGCTCAAGTTTTGTGTTATGAAGATTGAAGAGATTCAAGTTAAGCTGGGGCTGGGTGCAGCGGGGGTTGGGTGGTCTCAAAATGATTCAAAATGTTCACGTCAGCTTCTTTGCATGAATTATATATGCTAATTACTACGAGTTACGTGCACAAACCCAACAGCACAAGCCAAAGTGCTAAGCTTGTTTGTCCATTGGGGAAGGCACAAGCCAATACCATTTGTTTTTCACCAGGGATATATGATCAATTTTAATGTTTAAAGAATTGTACAACCAGATTCACTTCTCGGGGGTGGTCTCAATAGTCTATATTGATGGGTTGCCTGATGTGCTTGCGCAAATCACACAACCCCTCAAACTGCCACACAACTGAACATGAGCTCCGTGTTCTCGGGCACGGCATGCTGAGCACTTTGGACTGGATGATGAGGCTCCACCAGCCAACTCGTCTTTGTTGTGGATCGCAGATAGGTTCACATGGGATCCTGTATATAGTCTATAGTACGCAACTCTTACACCATGGGAATGTTCCAAACTTGATGGTTGAACTACGTGAAAGTAAGAGCTAGTTTGGTTTAACGCTTGGACCCAACATTGGAACCACCTGTATCCAACATTGGAACCACCTGTATTATATACTGTATATATATAGTTATACTGCACAACTGCTACAAAACCATACAGCACCCACTTGTGCTCCGCTTGCAGCTCCGCGCTATGCCGCAGGCGCTGAGCTCTACGGCGGAGGAGCAGCTGGCGAAGACCGATCGCTTGAAGCGTTTCTCGTCCGTTGAGCGAAGAGAGGTTGGGTGACTTGACATTCTGCGGGCATTGGCGGGTACAATGACCCAGGATTTGAATGCATAGTATGACCTAATAGAAGCATTATCACGAATTACCCAATCTTTGCTAGGGGCCCTGTTCTTAACTTCTGACTTCATTGGACTTCTGACTTGGTTGGACGAGGTTCGGAGATCTCAGCGAGTTCGACCACTTCGATGAATAGGGACCCGTCATCCGTACAGTGGTTTCAGATGGCAAGTCTCGCCATAAACCCCTCCTCGATTGGGGTGCATATAGACCACCTCCTGGGATCTGTCTTCTTAACCCACCAGGTGAAGGAGTACTCTCCATTTACTGCAGGTTTACTACTTTTTGGGGTCGCCAAAGAAACATGAGACAAGGGACAGGGGCAAGGGATAGGGGCGGTGCGAGCGTCTTCCCTCCAAAAGACCCATGTGAAGGACCTTTAGATCGACCATACCCAGGTCAGCCGTTGGGCCCGAAAAGGAGTCCATTTGCCCTGAGGTATTGAAGCGATACCTCAGTCACACAAAAAAGACAACTTGAGGATAGAATAGGATAGACACGTCCGCAAGTCATGTCACAAACAATCCTCTTGGGTTGAGTGCCGTCCATACAGAAAATTGTAAAAACAGAAGGTGGTCCTGGGCCCACCCACCATTTACAAGGCTGGTATGCAGTGCTAGTATGTGCCAGTCAGGGTGTGAGAATCTTGGAGGATGGCTACCATATTCTTGTCGGCCCTTTGTCTACTTCATTGCATGAAGAAACTGCCAGAACATGGATGTGGGTCGCGTATTTTCCGCTGGGCTTTTGGACGGCCATGCGGATATGCAGCAATGCATAACCAATGTTTCAGCCATGGGAGAGGGAAAAAGAATTCTTGCTGCCCTGGTTCTGCCTCGAGGCTTCCGAAAGCAATGCCAAGAGCTGCTACGCTTGCGGGGGGGGAGCCCAGCTGGATAGCATGGGTGGTACCACAATGAGTTCGAGTTCGAGGCATCTCTTAACTTGTATTGCTATTGAGTGAGCTCATGCACTTTCGATTTCCAAAACACCTGCCAAGTTGTCCTCAAACCTATCAGATTTCTTCCAGCTGAGCTTTACGAGGGCCGGTGAGCTCAGGTCCAGAGCTCCCCTGAAAAAAGCACAAAGAGGATAGAACATCAGGGAGTTCCCCAACCACATCAGTGCTAGTGATTGTGTGAGTCAAAACCATTTCTGGCAGGCAAATCAGAAGTTGAACGTGATCGCTTTGAAGCAGGAACTGGTGGTTAAAACATGTTAAACGTATGAACCTATGAGCCCACACTCCTTCCTTGCTCAGGTGCTTCGTCATAACTCCATCCATCTCAGCCTTCTGCGCCATGCGCCGGGGGTAACGGGTGTGACCGGTGCGCAGGACGCAAGAGCTGGAGACGCTTCCTGGGCCGCACTTCAGCATCGTCAAGGCACCACTCCTCGGTGGATGGGCAGAACGTGCGCAGGACCGCATTCGGACGGTCCCAAAGAGCCGCGGCACGGAGGTTGGGAAGGAGATTTCCGCCACAATAAGCTCATTTGGATTCAGAAAACGGTGTCACGTATGGTGAGGTGTTTGGGCTTTTGACGGGGGAATGTTCATGTTTTTGGATTGGACATGTTGTACCACGATGATGGACATGAAATGGTTTCACACCAGGGCTGGTGACAGAGTTGCAGACACTAATGTGACACTAGTTCAAAAAGATAAGATGATACATGATAATACCATATAATTTGAGTTTGTCCTATTACCTGCAACAGTCGGTAAATAAATTTTCACTATGATTGAGAAGGGCCTTTACTCACCATCATCATCCACTGTTGCTGGTAAATAGGATAAGCCCAACATATACCAGCTTTTGTGCCGGTGCCGAGTAGAGGGGTCATGCCCAGGATCAAACCTTCACCACCAGACTAGACTGCCATTAGACACGCCCTTCCAGACCGTATGTATAACTATATCATTCATCAGTCATACTCAGTCATCAGTCATCAGTCATCATTCATCATCATCATCATCATCATCATCATCATCATCATCATCATCATCCACGTTCTATCGCTATCATCACCTACTAATTGCAACACATTGTCATCCACCCTTTGGAGTGGCAAACTCCACCAACACCCTCCGATCGTGCCCGCCAGGCCGTCCGCAAGCCAAAGGCTAAGGCATCGGGATGGGGAGTGGACAGCGGGAAACAGGAGCACAGAGGGCGTAAAGGGAGGGCTCAGATTCTTTTAAATATAGATTCCGTACACAGAGCTCTCGATCAAGACTGGGTAAGGCCTGTCACAATTGCCTGGTACTCTTGTGACACAGCTTGCATTGACTTTACGGCTTCTTGAGAAGCCTTTTCCTGTCAGCGGTTGGCGGGATTGCTGACCCATCACTTTTCCCAAGCAGAGGTTAGTTGATGTGAATTTCAGCCTCAATCCTTCTTCACTCTTCGAGGTCAGTGTTGCCATGTAGAGCTTTCAAACTTTTAGATGGTTTTCGGGATGTGGTACGACATGTAATGGTTTAGGATTGGTTTTAATTAGATGCTTTTCGGCTTTTTAGATGGGTTGTTAGGGACTTCCGACTGTCACGTGGTTGAAATGTAGGCCTCGGTTTCACCACCGAGGCCAAGACCGCCGCCAAGCCCACGGTCCCAGTGCCGAGCCCGGCGGTGCCGGTTCCGCCGAGCCCGGCGGTGCCAGTGAAGGCAACGCCTCAGCCAAGAGCTCAGATGAAGTCATGGACTAGGTTGATCTTGAATATGATTAAACCAGGAGTTCCGTTGTTCGACCTGGCACATGTAGATCGTGGGCGGCGACTCCCTTCATGTGTGAAGCTTTTGGACCTGTTGGATCCTTGTGGCAGCACCCACCTGTCCGTCCCATGAGTAGCTACCTATAGTGAGTGGATAACCTTCCATTTTTTTTTTTTTGGGGGGGGGGGTGTCCCTAAAAAAGTCTCCCCTACCCCTACCTCTATCCCATGATACTTGGAGAAAACCCCTTTTAAAGCCTTTTGTTTTGGAATTGTTTTCTCCACTGAACACGCACAGGTGGAAGGTTTGGTTAATCTTTATCTTCCAGGGAAACTGCGGGGTCAGAGTAGGCGACCAACCACGACACTCCCATACCAAGGGCGGGCGCATCCCATTACCTGTTTTCTCAGTCAGTAAGAGAAAACATCACTTCGGCAAATTGTGAAATGTCGGCCGGCCAATTGAACCTGTTTGATCCATTGAAACCTTGAAATGGAATGTGAATGTGCCCGGCCCCCATACCCACCAAGTGCTGCACTGGTCAAGGTCAAAAGAGCTTGCACCAAGTGCTGAAGAGGCGGAGACAGCGGGGAGTGCGTCACAGACGTCACAAACAGAGGTGGGTTCCCTGTGATTACATATTCAACTCATGTATATGTATGAAAACACACGAATCTATTCCATACAGGAGTTTATTTAGTGAGATTCTGCTTTGCAAGTGACCAGGCTTTTGTGTTTCTAAACTGGAATGAGGACCAGAGATGAGATGATCAGAGGATGTCCCAATGTTTGCTCACCTGCCCTCAGATGTGATGTTGGCACTCCCCTCT